TGGCTGCAGGATGTCAGCAACGATTTTGACAGCCTTTTCTCTCCATGAAGTCCTCATCCTCAGGGAAACAAAAAGTTATCTAGAACTGAGATATAGAGTAAGTGCAGATGTGAATGTCCGTTGCTTCTTTTGTTTCTATGGTTCACTTCACCAGCTCCAGAACCACACCATCTTTGCCAGGATCTGCACCTGCAAAATGCAGGCCCTGTACTCTCCCTCCTTCCCCATGTAACTCCATCTTGAAACAAATGCTTGAATCTAGTTAGCAGAATCTACGTCACTCGTATGCACCCTGACAAGAAGGACATCTTGGAAAGGGAGTTTGGGGTTCCACATGGAGAAGGCAGGATTTCTACTGAGGAACTGTGATAACGAGGAGAGACTATTTGGAAGATTTCGGGCAGCTGCGAATGACAGATGTTCATGACAGTTGCCGTATTTGTCTCATGTGATCTGGCTACTCAGGACAAAGCTGCTCCTCTATAGACTGGACACAAAGCATTGCCACTTAAGATGGCTTGTAGAAGCGCTCTGCCCAGTAGGCACAGAGAAGGATAAACTGGCCCAATTTCATCCTCTTTCAGGGAATCTGAAAGTGAGACATACAAAGAGGGTCAGCAGTGAGCAGGCAGAGAAAGTCAGGTTACAAGAATGGGAGTCAGACAAAAGTAGGAAGCAGAGCGACACCGTCATCTGAGTCAGATGCGATAGTTACAAAACCTGTTATGGTGTCAGTACATTTGCCACAGTATCTGGACTGAGATTCTAATTTTGTGTGGAGCCTGATGTAGAACTCCCATCACATCAGACTTGAAAACATCTCTGCTCTTTTCATCTATAAAAATCCAACCCACCCACCGCACCCATAGAAAAGACAAAACACAATATAAAGCAGCAAATTCTGTGTCCAAAGGTGGCCCACCAGATTTGAGCTCCTAAAGGGGCCATGTGTGGTTAATTTGTGTATCATGCCCAAGCATCTAGTACTTTTGGGAAGCACGCAGGAGATGGTCGTTGAAAATTGAAATGAGGGTTTTAGCAATAAGTGCTACGGGATTCAGAGTACAGAACAATCACTGTTATAACTGTGGTGCATTATATATGCTGGGTTTATCCTCTCACCACAGATCCATAATCTGCCTTTCCTCTGCCCTCCTCTGTATCTTACAAGGATGATTTCCAAGGACTGTATGCACTGCCCTCCCTTATTCTGTGGCTTCTTGTTGGGAATGGCCAAAGAGAAGCACTACTCCTGGTAATGGGAAGAGGGAAAGAGGAATTGGTTTCCTACCACCCTCTGTGGCCACAGCTACTGCCAGATTGTCTCTTTTCCACGGTTCTGACTGCCCAGTCTATGGTGATACTGCCCCTTTCCCTTGTCTCTTCAGGCCTGCGGTGGTAATAGATTTAATCCCTGGGTGCTTTACTAGCCTTTGATGGGTCCCTCAATCCTGCCCACCCCTCTGAAAACAGTCCCTTTATTAAATTCTTCAGTGAAACCCAATAAATGTGTCATCTATTTCTAGCCAGCACCCTGACTAGTACATTGCATTCATATTCCAAAAAGGAGGAAATAATTCTGTACTTGTCCCCAAGTAGTCTTACTACCTGACCTTACCCAGGAGGGCAAGTTCACACAGTCTGAAAGAATGTACAAAACAGCCTTTTGCTTCTAGCACTGGAGATACAGGAGTGATTCCTCTGTTTCTTCTAGCAGTTTCTACTCCCTCAGATTCTCTCACTGGGGCCAGGTCTCAGCCTCTCGTTCTCCCATCCCCTTCACAGAGAAGCCCCCTCTCCTGTAGTCTCTGTCTCTCTCTCTCCCTCTCTCTCTGTCTCTCTCTCTCTCTCTCTTTCCCTTCTCTCCTCTCTCTCTCTCTTTAATCTCTCTTTCTCTTGACTCCAGGGACCCACTGCTTCTGGGGCTGACTGTCAGTCTTTGGATCCAGTCTGGTTTTTCCAGATGGGGTTGGGGTTTCCAATACTGGAAGCTCAAGGTAGAAGGAGAAAAAAGAGGCCTTGGTGGTCTGCCCTCAGGTTGTGGTGTCTATGAAATAATCAGACTGTTTTAACAGGTAAGATTAAACATCCTGTAGGTGTTTTCTGCATTTGCTGGAAGGTGTGCTAGATGGCTGGGTGTCTTCGATTAGGTTGACTCTAGGAAGAGAAAGCGAAAAAGTGGAGATCGGACCTCCATCTTACCACCTTAGGAACTATTTCTTTGAGGCTGGGTGCAGTGGCTCATGCCTATAATCCCAGCACCTTGGGAGGCTGAGGCAGGCGGATCACAAGGTCAGGAGTTTGAGATCAGCCTTGCCAATGTGGTGAAACGCTGCCTCTACTAAAAATTAAAAAATTAGCTGGGCATGGTGGTGTGTACCTGTAATCCCAGCTATTTGGGAGGCTGAGGCAGGAGAATCGCTTGAACCCAGGAAGCAGATGTTGCAGTGAGCCAGACGACGCCATTGTGCTCCAGCCTGGGCGTGGCAGTGAGACTCTGTCTCAAAAAAGAAAACAAAAAGCCAAAGGGAAAACAAAGAAACTGACTTGAGCTTTGAAAAAGAGATAAAATTAGTCTGGGTGTGGTGGTTCACACCTCTAATTCCAGCACTTTGCGAGGCTGGGATGAGCAGATCACTTGAGTTCAGGAGTTTGAGACCAGCCTGAGCAACATGGTGAAATTCCATTTCTACAAAAAATACAAAACTTAGCCAGGCATGAAAATTAGCAAGGCACAGTCCTGTTGTCCCAGCCTACTCAAGAGGCTGAGGTGGAAAGACGGCTTGAGC